TTTCAGTAGGATTGAGATCAGGGCTTTGTGATGGCCACCTCAAAACGTTGACTTTGTTATCCTTAAGCCGCTTTGTAACCAGTTTGGCAGTATGCTTAGGAACACTATCCATTTGGAAAACCCATTTGCGCCCAAGCTTTAACTTCCTGGCTGATGTCTTGAGATGTTGCTTCAGTATTTCTGCATAATGTTATTTCCTCATGATGCCATCTATTTTGTGAAGTATACCAGTCCCTCCTGCAGCAAAACAACCCCACCACATGATACTTCCATCCCTGTATTTCACAGTTGGGATGGTGTTTTCAGGCTTGCAAGCTTCTCCTTTTTTCCTCTAAATGTAACAATGGTCATTATGACCAAAAAGTTCAATTTTTGTTCTGTTAGATCACAGGGCAGGTCTCCAAAAATGAAGGTCTTTGTCTCTGTGTGCATTTGCAAACTTTAATTTGGCTTTTTATGTTTCTTTTGGGGTAATGGCTTCTTCCTGGAAGAGTGGCCTTTCAGCCCATGTCGGTACTGGACTTGTTTCACTGTTGATATTGACACATTCTTACCAGCTTCAGCCTGCATCTTCACAAGGTCTTTTGCTGTTGTTCTTGGGTTGATATGAACATTTCGGACCAAAGCATGTTCATCTCTGGGACACAGAACTCATCTCCTTCCTGAGCGGTATGATGGCTGGACATTCCCATGGTGTTTATACTTGTATATAATTGTTTGAACGGATGAATGTGGCACCTTTAGGCATCTGGAAATTGCACTCAAGGATAAGTAGGCTTGAGTAGGTCCACAATTCTTTTCCTGATATCTTGACTGATTTCTTTAGATTTTTCCCATGATGTTACACAAAGAAGCAGTGTGTTTCAGGTGTGCCTTAAAATATATCCACAGGTGTGCCTCTAATTAACTCAAATGTTGTCAATAGACCTATCAGAGGCTTCCAAGGACATGATATCATCATCTGGCCTTTACCAAATTGTTTAAAGGCATAGTCATCTTAGTGTATGTAAACTTTTGACTCTCTAGAAAGTAATAAAAAATTGTCTAAAAAATTCTCTCCCATATTATTCTGGCATTTAGCTAATAAAAATAATTTTGGTAATCCTAATTGACCAAAAACAGGAAAAGTTTAATCTGATTTATTGTTCGACGGTGAGAGAAAAAAAAGTTTATGTGCTTTTTTATATAGTGTATGTAAACTTCTGGTTTCAACTGTAAATCTATAGCGGAATGAAAATCTTACCTCAGACATGTTGCAAGCCATTGCTCTGGATCAATCAGCTCTCTGAAATTTGTCCTCTCCCTCTGCAAACGTGGAGTCAGCTGATTAATGATGTTATCTTATAACAAGGCTTACAACCATGAACAGGTCATCATCACTTGAGGATGTAGTCGCCATTGTTTCTCCTTCTCTCTCCCCCTCTGTTCTCCCGTAATTCCTGCCGCAGACCATATTTTTATGCAAATATACAAATTTCATTCCCGTCGCACAAGGTGTGCAAAGGAAAAGGCGTAAGCCAAATATTTTCCATTTTCACGTTGTTTTTTTTTGCGTTGCTTCACTAATTCGCCAGTGTGTAATGACCTTAGCACCAAACATTTAAAAGTACAGAGAAAATAAAACTATCTCAGCTTACCATTAATTCAGCGCCAATCTTGACACACAACAACAATAAACAAAGCTCAGTCTAATATTATGACACAAACTGTTAGGCAAAATCTTACACTGACTGCCTCAGGAGAAGTTTCAGGTGTCATGGAGGTGTTGAAACTCCTCGTTATCTGCCCTCACTGTTGGATTGAGAACAGAAATACACAATGTCTGTATATTTCAATCTGTACAAAAAAGAAAAACTAAATAAAAGACATCGAGTTCATGGAGAAAAAAAATGCTGTTTCACATCGGGCTTTGAGTATGTATGTGGATATTGGCAGAGTCAGAGGTCTAACTTCTAGCTGAACTGTGGCAGTTGAATCAGATCACAGTTTTCTGTGTTTTCAGGTGGGGAGCCCATTGTACAGCTTCTTTTTGTATCAATTTACTGTATCATTTTTCCAGCCTGTGATTAAGTCTCCCACTCTAGGCCAGCAGGTGTTTGCATGGATGCATCACCCACCTGCTGGATGTGGCCCACAGGCAAAAAAATTACAAGTGCTCCTCAAGTAGCCAATACTTGAGTCAGATATTAAAAAAAGAAATCATTAACACATTGTCTAGTCCTCTATAACATCACATGAAGGCATCCCTGTCCGTTTAACCACAGTCCCTTGGCTCTAGTCAGGACCTGTCACAACTTTAACAAAAATATATTAAGGTTGCAGATACATGCTCTCTCCATTGACTGCATCACTCCCCTTTTGCATAATGATCCAACACCAGGAGGAGAAGAGAAGATTTGGAGGTAAGATAATATTTCATGACAGCTTGATTTTATCAGAGGACAGGCTGTTTGGAGTCCGACCTGAGATCATGCTCAATTCTTATAATGCTGTACATGGTAGTATCATTAGATATGGAATGGCTCCATGGTTCGACACACTAACAGTACAGTCGAAAAACTAGACTTGCAAACATAGTGAAAACTACAATGAAAGTATCGGGTCATATAACCAGCCACTGCCCTTGCAGTCTGTTTGAGAGTTCTGTAATCAGACAGGCAAACAGAATCCTGCAGGACCTGTCCCATGTGTTGTTCTCTGAGTATGAATTGTCACCCTCAGAAAAACGCTTTCGAGCCATGTGTTGCAAAAGTACCCATCTTCAACTCTCCATCTTGCCCACCTCCATCTCTCTTCTTAATAAATTGCGCAAAATGGAATCTTTTGCGGACAGTCGGGTGTGAAGGTACGTCTTCTCCTGATGCGGCACACGCAACAGACTTGTCAGCAACACCTCGCCATAAGAAGCGATGGGCTCGGAGTTTAACTAAAGGATTCCCGCCTGAGTTTAATATAGAATACGAAGGGGCCAATGGGTACGTATACACACTTAAATATTGCGATAGCCGCGTTACGCTGTGTGTAAAGAGTGAGAGCGAAGAGCAGGGGCTAAACGTATGTCTGTCTGTAAAAGACTGGAAACTGTTTCGCTTGGTGGCCTGCCGAGACCTTGATCAGCCTTGTTTTCCTGAGGTGCTTTATATATCACAATGGATCAGCGGTACAGGGCCTGAAATTTATCCCATTGAGGCTGACCCTTTCCTCAAACTTTCAGAAGATTTTATTTTTCTGCGTGTCTGTGAGGATCGTGAGCTGATGATCGTGGCAAGAGGCCGTGAAGAATGGAGACTACACCCATACCCAGTTTCTTATTAGGAGTACGAGACATATTTTAAGATGACTTTCTATATCCAGCGCGGTGACTGGAGGTATCTGCAGGGAGTGTTTAGCAAAGTTGACGAAGCAATCAAGAGAGAAACAGTGGCAGTCTCTTTTGAACGTATTAGAAAAGGTCTTGATTTTGGCCATTCATCGTCTACTACTCCGAGCAACATCTTGCCTGCCCTGTGTAGGCCGAAAGTCATCAGGCACATAGACTACTATGCATAAATAGGTGGGTTGTATATTTTTGTGTTTATGTGGGATCCTTCTGATGAGTCAAAAAGTTAATACCTTTTTTTCTATTCACTAGGAAATGACAGAGTATCCACGCCTCCACCGGTCCCCGGGACCCCTCCGTCATCACCCTGGGCACCCTGGTCACCCCCTTTAACTTCAGGGATATGAAGATCACGAGGCATGCGACAGGGCACCTCCATTATATGTAGACTTCATTAAGGAAGTAGTTGCCCATCTGGTCTACACCGTATTGTATCAATACTGGCAAGAGATCTGCTATGGATGTCAGATTAACCACCCCAGTCAAAAACATCATGAGTGTCTGACAGCAATCCCGGCGTCATTCTATGAGATTCACTTTGATGTATTGATGAAAAAACTATGGAACACCCATTTTATCGAGGCCATACAGCATTATCTGACCACGTTTTGCATGCAGATTGATGACGGCATTGTCCATGATGTGGCAGAGGCTTTTCTCAATGAACTAAAACAGTAAATAATGTTGTAGATAAGATAAACTAGATGTATGACGCTGCAGCAGCCAATAATTTCTCAAAAGTAGTAACCCTGCGAAAGGCTGGCAAATTTTGAAAGAAGGAAAATGAAATTATTGATGTTGTCGCTGTGTGCCAATGTACCCCTTTTCCCTTTAATTTTGTTAGTGATTTGTTTGTCATGATCTGCTATCTGGAGTTAAATAAATAAATAAATGACATTGTAATATATCCCGTCTACTTATTTATGTCTTGACCAGACCATGGAAAACACCTTGCATAAAATTTATTATGATCCTGCCAATCCGGCAGGTCTATCAAGCGTGTATAAACTGTGCAAAGCAGAAACAAGCAGGCGTTACACCGCCATTATCAACTGTCAAGAGGTTTTTACTAGGCCATGATGTTTACACTCTTCATGCACATGTTGCAAGAAATTTCCCGAGAAATTGGGTCCTTGTTAACAGAATCGTCAAACAGTTCCAGCTTGATTTAGTTGATATAGGTGAATTCTCATCTGAGAAAGACAACGTTTGGTACATGCTAATGTGTATCGATGTATGCTCTAAATATGCATGGGTGAGGCTTCTGAAAAACAAATCAGGACCTGTCGTCACAAGTGCGCTTAAATCAAATCAAATCAAACTTTGATTTTGCAGGCAAAAAGAAATGGACACACAGAGTGCTTTACAATTCAAAACAATGAGCCCCCCCATAACCAGCCCGCCACCCCACCCCCCCAACACTCACAGAGAGCCCACCCTTACACACACACACACACACACACACACACACACACATACACACACACACAGATAAACATGAGCGTGGTCTAGACCTGCTCTTGTTCTTTGAAAAGCGTCTTGAGATGATGACTGTTGTGAATTGGCGCTATATAAATAAAATTTGATTTGATTTAATTTTAGATAATGCAATCTTAAAAGCATGTGGCTGAGTACGGAGGAGCCAAGTCAGGAAATGTCAGGAGGCCGACTGCACTGGAGGCTGCTCACGGCCCAGGGCCAGGACACCGCCACCCAGGTGCGCACCCCGCTACAGGCCAGTAAGGGGACCACAGCAGCAAGCACTGCTGCAGACCACCACCTGGCCGAGCTGAGCGCACACCAAGAGGCAGATAAACCCTAGACAGAACCAGTCACAGCCTCCAGTGCAGGTGGCCCCCCTACTGAGGAGACACTGGAGAAATGCAATAAAAACATAAACTGAATCAGCTAAAAACATCAAACTAGATAAAATTATAAAATACAGATAAATTGCTAAAATACCATTTAAAAATAGGTGAATAAATAAAATAAACATAACATGTAAAATGAGGACTAAAATATATAAATGTAGTAAAATGAGATAAAAATAGGATAAAAATATAGATTAAAAATAAGACATTAGTTAAAAGCCAATTTAAATAGGTGGGTCTTGAGCCTGCTTTTAAAAATATGAACATTCTCTGCGGCCCTAAGGTCCTCCGGCAGGCTATTCCAAAGACAGGGGCCATAGTGCTGGAAAGATGCCTCACTGTAAGTTTGTGTTCTCACTTTGAGGACTATTAAAAGGCCAGTGCCAGAGGATCTCAGGTTCCACAAGGGTTCATATTGTAAAAGCAATCCTGAAAGATAAGAAGGTCCAAGACCCCTAAGACATTTAGAAAACCATTAAAAGGACCTTAAAATCGATCCTATAGCACACAGGGAGCCAATGCAGCGATTTTAAAACCGGTGTAATGTGTGCCCACCTTCTGGTCCTCGTCAGCACACGTGCTGCTGAGTTTTGCAACAGTTGTAAACTTGTAATGTTTCTTTTTGGAAGACCAGAAAGCAGGGCATTACAATAGTCAAGACGACTGCAGATAAAAGCATGCATTAGCGTCTCTGTGTTAGCCCGGGAGCGAAAGGGGCGGACTCTGGCTAAATTCTTTAAATGATAAAACCTTGTTTTTGTTATATTTTTAATATGTGGAATAAAAGTCAGCTCAGAGTCAAAGATGACGCAAATATTCTTTACCTGATTTGATGGAATTAAAGACAGGGTTTTCAGTTTTGTAAAAAGTTTCTCTCCCTGAGCCTTAGGATCTATACTTAAGACCTCAGTTTTGTCCTGGTTGAGCTGTAGGTAGGCTAAAAAGGGCATCAATTGGCCCTGTGTCATCAGGAGACATGGATATGTAGAGCTGTGTGTCATCAGCATAGCTGTGAAAAGTGATACCATGCCTCCTGATGACATCTCCCAGTGGGAGCATATATAAATTAAAAAGTATGGGGCCTAAAATTGAGCCTTGGGGCACACCACATTTAATGCTATGAATCTTTGAAGAGCATGTGTCCAAACTTACAAGAAATTTTCGATCTGTGAGATAGGAGTTAAACCATTGAAAGGCAGTATCAGAGAGGCCTACAAGGTGCCTTAGTCTATTAAAAAGAATTGTGTGATCTACTGTATCAAAAGCAGTGCTTAGATCCAGTAGCACAAGGACTGTAAGCTTGTGTGAGTCCAAGTTGCACCTAAGATCATTGACAATTTTCAGTAGTGCAGTCTCTGTACTGTGGTTCATCCTAAATCTAAAGAGGATTTTAGGGTTATTTTTATGATCCGTGATTATGTTCGTGAAATAGGTGAATCTTATGTGTCTGAGAGCTTTATTGTACATTTTCAGTTGCTCGCAATATATACTTGATAATTAACTATGATTCTATTTTTTCTCCATCTCCGCTCAGCTACCCTGCAATTTTTTTAGTTCTTTGATTTCCTCATTTCTCCACGGCAGTGTGCGCTTAGGCAGTACCTTTTTTTGTTCTCAGTGGAACTACAAGGTTGAGTGTGGTTTCAAGTTTGTTGATAAAATGTCGGACAATAAAATCACAGGATGCAGGTAGAGTAGCTGAGGGATGCTTGCTCAAGATCTCGATAAAATTTGCAGCCACTTCTGACGTAAAATAGCGTTTCCTGACAGTTCGCACTGAGGTCTCCCGCTGAATAAAACTGGTGATATTAAAAAACACACAATAATGGTCCGACACAGCCAGGTCAGCAACAGAGGACACTGGCTGACTGGCCATAGCCGAGGACTAGATCCAAAGTGTATCCTCTGTTGTGGGTCGGCTGTGTGACGTGTTGTGTAAAATCCAGGCAATTAAGTAGATTTAAAAACTCTTTCTCCATTAAATCAGATGGATTGTCTATGTGTAAATTAAAATCACCAGATATAATAATAAAATTGTAAGTGGCATGGATTATTGCTAAAAATTCAGAAAATTCACTGACAAAAGCAACATCATGTTTTGGTGGTCTGTAAACAGTTATACAAAGAATTGAGGGACTGTTAAAAACAACTGCATGATGTTCAAAGGTGGTGTACTGATCAAATTATATTTCTTTTGTGCTTAGTGAGTTGCTGATTATTGATGCAGTACCACCACCTTTCCTGCCACTTCTAAAAGAGAACGTAAAGTCAAAATTAGGTGGGGAGGCCTCAGTGAGAATAACTGGCGCATCTGCACCCAGCCACGTTTCAGTTAAAAACATACAATCAACCTTGTTGTCTAAAATCAGGTCATGGACAATAAAAGATTTGTTTAAGAGAGAGCGAATATTTAACAGTGCCATGTTAAGGGTGATTTACAGACTGTGTGGTTAGATTGTTGATGTTTGGGGAGAGGTCTGAGGTTATTGAAGTTCACAGAGTGTACATGATGGAGTCTGGTTGTCTCTCGCTGAGTGATTATGACAGGAATGGGTGAATGGTTAATGAAAACAGAGGGTCTAAGTCCAGAGGCCTGTACTACGAAGCTGGATTTGGTCTTAGCGAGATAACTTCAGGATAACTTCTGGGTTTTCCGTACTACGAAGGTGGATCTCTTTTTATCCGGGTCCGTTGCCCTGGTAACTTACGCGGAATGCCAAACCTGCTCCGGAGCAGGCTATGTTTGAGGATAAGAGCTCAGCGGGTATAAAAGACCACCCACTGACCAATCGGTTCTCTTGGAAAGTGGCCTGCCCACTTTTGCCGGATCCCGTGGACGTCGGTGCTCGGATTGTGAGAGGAGCGCTTTGACGAGAGCGCTATTTTCGTGACCGGTCTAACCCATTTGATTTACCAGATGACGTTCTGTACGAGCGTTAAAGATTTTCTTTTGAGGGGCTGCTATATATTAGTGAGCTGTTGGAGTCCCGCAGACGGTCTGCCTCATGCTGAGGTTCTTTGCCACCGGTGAGTATTCATACGCATTTACTTGTCCAATTACAACTAACAAAGCACGAGTGTGATCCTCTTATTGTGCGATTGTTTACAATAATCTCGCCCTGATCTTTCCACGATATTACATTTTTGGCCCGTGACAATGTATCCAAAATGTGTTTCCTGTTTTTCACCCTCTTATTAGGATAGGTTTTTAAGACATTGTCAATAACAGCATCCGTTACGGCGTGAATGCTGTCATTTTTATCATAAACGTCCTGCAGTTTAAAAAAAAAAATACACGTTTATTGGGCAGTGACAAAGTTAAAACTCCCTTTTCGCATTCACCTTGTTACCAGGGATAAGTTTCTCTGTAGGACACCCACATATTTTTTTGGCTTTTTTATAAACATTTATGTCCGGTTGTTTTAATAGATCAAACATTTCTCTGACCAGTTCATTTAGGGCAGCAAGACGTATAGATCCCTCATTTGATCATTTCTGTGTATGCTCCATATTATTTTCTTGATAATAGACTGGTTATGAAGGGAATAGCAGCCCCCAACAACGGCAATAAAAAAACACTCCCTGTGGTTGATGGTCTTCTTCTTTTGCAAAAGTTTTACTTTTTTGTTGGCAATGAGTTTAATTGCTTGCCTTTTCTTTTTCAGCTGGTTGTATTTGTTTTGTACAGGGGTATGTTACCATGAAGTACGTTGAGGGCAGTTTTGCACAATGCATGAATACAATCTGATCCCATGCTAGCCACGATAGCCCGGCGCTGAGCCAGTGGAGATTTGTACAACTCCAAAAGAGATCAATTTCTACGCATGCGGGGTGACATGGTCATCCCCGCTGCATTATAGAGAGAGGTATACAACCTGTTGGTCGGGAAGCAAATTGGTTCTGTCGTCTTTGCTTTATAATCAATGAGAAGGTAGCGGAATGGGGAGCTGGTGGCGTCGTTAAAAGCCTCCAAGAAAAATTTAGTGTCGCCAGGAAACATCTGCCTCCCCAACAGCGTAATTTGATATTTATCCCGGGGATTTTTAAACAAAACTAGATAATTTGTATTCAATGTAATTATGCGACTGGCTTTCCCCCGATAAATAAATTTTGAACCAGATACACACGTGGACAAAATTGTTGGTACCCCTCAGTTGAAGAAGGAAAAACCCACAATTCTCACTGAAATCACTTGAAACCTACAAAAGTAACAATAAATAAAAAAAATTTGAAAATTAAATAATCAAAATCAGCCATTACTTTTGAATTGTTGATTAACATAATTATTTTAAAAAAACAAACTAATGAAATAGGGCTGGACAAAAATGATGGTACCCATAACTTAATATTTTGTTGCACAACCTTTTGAGGCAATCACTGCAATTAAACGATTTCTGTATTTGTCAATGAGCGTTCTGCAGCTGTCAACAGGTATTTTGGCCCACTCCTCATGAGCAAACTGCTCCAGTTGTCTCAGGTTTGATGGGTGTCTTCTCCAAATGGCATGTTTCAGCTCCTTCCACAGATGTTCAATGGGATTCAGATCTGGGCTCATGGAAGGCCACTTTAGAATAGTCCAACGCTTTTCTCTCAGCCATTCTTGGGTGTTTTTGGCTGTGTGTTTTGGATCGTTGTCCTGTTGGAAGACCCATGACCTGCGACTGAGACCAAGCTTTCTGACACTAGGCAGCACATTTCTCTCCAGAATGCCTTGATAGTCGTCAGATTTCATTTTACCTTGCACACATTCAAGACACCCTGTGCCAGATGCAGCAAAGCAGCCCCAAAACATTGCTGAGCCTCCTCCATGTTTCACCGTAGGGACAGTGTTCTTTTCTTCGTATGCTTGGTTTTTGAGTCTATGAACATAGAGTTGATGTGCCTTACCAAAAAGCTCCAGTTTGGTCTCATCTGTCCAAAGGACATTCTCCCAGAAGCTTTGTGGCTTGTC